ACCAGGAGCAGAACCAGGCCGGCACAGTTTATTACCATCAGTACGCACACACTGTACAAGATCCAACGCACCTGCCAGGACAACCGGCCACCACACTGCCTGAAGCCTCCGGTTCTTCTCAACTCAGCCAATGGATCCAGCATTCTGACTTCAATTCAGAAATACAAAAAAGTGTTCAAAAACTGCAACGCACAAATAACAATTCAACACGTTCAAAACGTAAGCTGAACAATAAAAGTCTACAATATTCCCCTTTAAAAAAGGACAGTCTCTGGATGCGAGAAAACAATTGAAGTCCTTGTTTCGAGTCGAGTCTGTGTGCTGTGACTGAGGGCTGCTCGGCTTTGTGCCGTCCTAATGCGCTGGAGAAGAACCCCCCCCCACTTGTGCAGTCACCTGATTTATATGCAGTAGAGTCCATTCTTCAGCATGACCGTGGGTTGACCAGCATAATCCACATCGACACCAACAGCCAATGATGTGGAAGAAAACTAGACACGCTAAGAGCCACTGCAAGATTTCAGTAAACACTTTCTTAAAACAGTTCTACTAAGACTGTCTCCAAACATCTGCAAATATGTAGTCTTATGTATTTTTTATTAGACAATTCAAAGCTGTTTTGGCAACGGTAGTGCAACTTTTAACACCAGAATGTGTACTAAACATTTTAATAGACAAAATCTGAACATATAGCCATATGTCAGAGTGAGTAAATGTCAGCAGCTTAAGGAGCCAAGACCCTTAAGGGAATGTAGGCTGGTTGTGGAGTTAAGGCCTGATATGTGATTCTTATAGTGCCCATATCACACAACATGACCCACTTCTGTAGTTTTAATTCGGGTTTTGATCTGATATCAGTTAGCAGCACCTCGCTCTCATTCAGACGGTCTTCGATTTCTATGCTTATATAATGAATGTGGAATACATCTGCACTCGCTATAATTGGAAATGGCATGCACTGCCAGTATTGGTAATTAAAGAAGAATTAATAATTAAAGAAGATAATAATAATATAGTTTTGCTGGTGCACAGCCAGATTGTTTGTGCATTAAAAACGATGAATTTCCTCTGATAAATGCTGGTGCACTGCTGTATGAAGATGTGAAGTCTGTTGTGTTTCGTGGTCCTCTGCCCTGCAGCTGTAGGTCATTGTCAAATAAAACATACAAGCTGAGCTACAAGCTCCTTGGTTGGGTTTGTGTGATCACGCAAGCAAGGAACAAGGTATCAGAGCTGAATAGAGTGTGTACTGACTGAGTATGTGCTTATGCTGAGAGGAGTGTGAAGGTCATATCAGTTCAGTCAGGTTTTTTTCTGTAATTTCTTTAAGTAGTTAGTTGGGTACAACTTCACTGGCAAACAAGGTGCTAGTTGCCAGAATTCTGGCTTGTAAGATTAATTGGAATCAACTTTAAATCTGTTTTTAGCTCTTTTTTTTTTTTTTTTTTGAGGTTAGCCAGGTTCTTTACCAAGAGTGTTATATTTCATTTAAAACAATCTAAATGGTCAATTAATAGTTTTAATGATTAGGATATGATAATAATTCTTTGATTGTCAACTGTTCATTAAATTAGCTCAAACCCTTTAAAGAGGTTTTACTATATTTGAGGTAATTAGTATCAGCATTGGAGGTAACTCATGTGTTACATAATTAGAACCTGTTAAAACCAATCAGCTTTTGTTCAAAGTAAATTAAATGATGCATCAGAATACTTAAACTGACAAAATAACACATTTTACTTTATATAAAATGAAACAGTGTAATATAATCAATCAAATTTTATTGGGAGAAATAGAATACTGTAACAGGCTTGTTAAAAGTAATGTTCCCTTTACTAGTTAGTACAGCTACTGTATAGTCACCAGACTAGTAGAGAAGTCTGGCTTGAAAAACTAATTGACTTTATTTTTAAACTGATTTAAAGCTCAAATTTATGAGGTCAGTCAAGTTCACCGACTCCCCTAACAGACAATGAAGAGCTGATATAACTGATATCGAACTTAACGCATAACCAGTAAATGATTCAATTTGGCTGACAGAACTTAGTTACACTTTGAGCTGCTTATACTCCTGCTAAATCTACCTGCAGAATATATATGGAGGCAACTAGACAAACAGCCAATAGTGCATTTCAGTTATCAGGTCATTAAATGTGAACTAACTTTTCAGCATCATGAATAAAGAGGATGCTCCTTTAGAGTAATAAAGTTGTGTTAGAGATATAAGAAATGTGCAAATTTAATGGGGGTTCTAATGACATGCAAATCTAGATGGTTCCATTGTCCTGAAATGTTCTACTGATGTCAACAGTGGTACCATCAAGACAGATTGTAGTCTGTCCAACTTTTTGAAAGATGAAGTAAAAAAAAGATTTGTATTCCCATTTAATTGGAATTAATTAGAAGGAAGTATGCAATCCACCATGTTGAAAAGAAGATATAAAGCTGTATGTCATCTGTATAATAATAAAAGCTAATGCCAAGTTTCCTAGTAATATCACCTAAAGAGAGTATGCACAAAATTAATTACAAAGGGCCTAAAACGGAACCTTGTGGAACACCAAAATTTACCTGCAATAGAATGGCCTACACTAGTAGGCATTAAAATAAATCACATGTTATATGAAAAACAAGAACCTACATAAGAAAATCCAAACAGGTGACATTAATTATTAAGTAGTGAAAAAAAGATACTGGCTATATATGCAAGATTTTTATAAAACAGGCCCTCAGACCTCAGAGAGGTCATTTGAGTGGATATTGGACTGTGTTCAGTAAAAGGAAGTGGTTTGGCTTCTCTCCCTGTGCGTTGTCTCAAACATTGCTGTTATTATCTGTGATTTGGCACTCCTCATGAGAAACCCGAAACAAACGTCCACTCTCAACAGCCGCACGGCTAACACGGCTTTCACTGAGCTGAACACACAACCATCACTGAGATCAACGCACACTTTCCCCAGGATGGAGGTGTTGGTGATGGACTGCCGAAGTAATTCAGTGGATGGACAATAAACATGGCATAATCGTGAAAAATGAAACTGTACTTATTGAGTTTTGTAATTCATATTCATCACAAAATGCAGTAAAACTCAATATAAGCACTTTCCTAGATGTCTTTGTAAGAAAGCACCAGCAAGAAACATTAATGTAAATGACCTATAAATTTATGGTTGACAGTACTCACAATTCTCTGCCATGTGGCTTCCTGCCCACAGTTTTGCTACAGGGGACAAACAACTTATTTGACGAATTGCGAAACTCAAGGACCACAAAGGCCGTATTGAAGTGACGACATATTTAAGTGACGTGTCTTTCAATGTGCAGAGGGACACTTTGTTCTCCAATGAATTAAAGATTACTTGTTTCTTTCCGAGAAAGACATTCCAGCCCCAAATACGTAGTGTGTGATGTTGCTGCATGTTCAAAAGGTCGACTCCTTTATGAGAAGCTCAAAGTCTTTATTAAGACCACCCTGAAATATTGACATCCAAGAAAATTCCCCTTTACACCTCCATGTAGTCACATAACTCAATATACCACACAAGTCAATGAAATTAATAAATATCAGTCATAAATGATTAATTAAATGAGCAGAAATATGTTGTTAATATTTCTTTTAGGTGGAAAAAATAGCAGATCACAAATCACATATCACAGAAACATGAGAATGAGTATATTTAACTCAGAATTTGTTTACTCAGAACACTCTAGCAAGCACTTAAAAATACTATACATGCTAAAATCACCTTAGCAGCCACACGTCAATGCCTGTTTTGCATGGGTGAAGGCCACTCACTTTTTTTTCTCCTTACAGTTATGTAGGTTAATTGGTAATGGTTTCGTATTTATGGTACTGTAACTTACAGTAACATTACAGCTTTAGTCCCCCTGGAGCAACCTGAAGTTAATCGTTGCAGTGGTTCAAATAACCCCCTTTGGGCCTTAATCCAGTTACATCTATCTAGTTAAGTCCTCAGGGGTTTAACCATTAAGCTGCTGCCAAAAAATATTGACCTGCATTTAATTATTCTACATCATAACTAAGAATCAAAGTGAGATGGGGAAAATAGAGTTAATACAGCAGATGTGTCAAGGTTACATCAGTATGTATTTGTAATGAGATGTTCAATGTCAGAGAATGAATGTGTGAAATGAAGGTATCACACACATTCACCTATTGGCACATTAACTATTAAGGATCCTCCCTTTACACAGAAAATGCCAGAATGCTGCATGCATCTGCTCTGACCGCACTCAAAGATGTCAGCTTATTTCCATAAATTCTTTAGCGATGAAAGTGGGCGTTCAGTGAATTCACAATGTCTCTGAATCTGATAGACACACACAAAGAGGGCAAACTGAAGACACAAAATGACTTTTGTGTTCACTGTAACAATTTGTTTTTGTTTTAAATTGAATGGTGAAAACCATAAAATATTTAATATTGATGTTTTAAGACTGAATAAGAAACAGATGAAGAAAATTGATAATTAAATAAATAAATTTAATAATAATCAATAATGGATTTGACACAGCTTCTGGGTAGGGTGGTCATCCATACGGTTCTAGGTCAGACTGTCTGGTTTTGAAATACCATATCTGCATTTTATCCAGAGATATATAATAAACAAATGAAGAATTAAGAGAATGAATAGACAAATAAATAGGCTATGTTTAAGTTCATATTTAGTGGCATACATTTTAGATATATTGACTGAATTTTGTGTTTTTTTTTTCTACAGTATTTTGCCAACATAAAGAGTTACAAACAAAATATAGCAGAACCTTTGCATCTCCGTTTGACACAGTGGCATTCCTGTATGATTCAGCATTTTTTGAATGAATTAGGTGAGTCAGTGATTCATTTTTTATAGAGACCTTTATTTATAAAGTCACTTGATTTGTTCAGAAAGAATCAGCCATTTTGAACAAATCATTTGAATGAATGATTCAGTGGGCTCACAGTGACTTGTCATTACCTACAGGCAGTTTTAATTTCATATTTAAAGTATTGCTTAATTTTCCAACATTTCCTATTTCTATATTCAAATATATTTCATATTTATGCTCTTTTCATTTATGCTATTTTAATTGCAGTGTAAATGCATTTATGCCACCTCTGAGCTGCATTATATAGCCTGTGTAAATATTTCCAAATGCCACTTAAGATACAGATTCTGTCCCATGTCTGTAGTTCATTTTACTGCCCTATAGTGTCTTAATATTCTAACGTATTACTCTAAATTTAAGAATTTAACATTAACGATGATATATTTGTTTGTTTTATTATCCACTTGTTTTGGAAAATTGTTAGTTTGTTCGCTAAGAAAAGTAACAGTAATAATACTTCTCAACAAGCTGCACTGGTTAGGGGTTTAGTCAATAACCTCTAGTATGCCTAAGTCTGATGAACTTTGTTGAGCAGGAGGGGCTGTAGAAGGTCATGCCGCAGATGTCTCATATCTCCTAAAGTCTTTGATGTCTTAATGAAAAGATGATGCAGGGATGAGTTTGGCACAGCTGAAGGTTCGCATGGCATGACAATGTTTTGGAAACTGATGCTGAAGGACACGAGGAGCACACAAGGTTACACTGAGTTTTTATTTTGACTTTTGATTTATCCTGATCCAATCCCATGGAATCACTCACATATAAAAGTGTGTGTCTAAAGTACTGCTGCTTCAGACTTGAAGAAGCTGTAATTCTCAATCCGTTCTTATGGCAGGTGAACTTCTCCAGCCTTGTGGAATGAAGCTGGTGCATCTCGGTGAAGCTGCTCTGGACATTCTGATGCAAGGGGCCCATAACAGCACTGACGGTGCCCAAGACAATGTGTGCGGAGCCATGGCCACACTACTGCTGCTGTTACTCTGCCTGTTGCTGGCCATCAGACAACATCGGACAAAGAAAGACCATGTGCCAGGTCGGTAGGGTTTATTTGAGATGTTGTCCTTTATTATTTAACACAGCATTTTCTTTATCAAATCCATTACAAATACTCTTTTTGAACCAATGGTTGTGGGAAATAATATTTTCAGTTCCTATCATGCAGTGTTTTGCCTTTTTATCCTTTGTTAGTGACTATGCTATCTACATTTTTGGTAGATAGTACTGTGTAGTCAACATATTTAGAAAACAAAGGGTTTAAATTCTAATTGGATAATTAAATGTTCACAGTAAAAGTAAGAGCCCCACACGTGATACATTCATTGTTAATGTCCTAAAAACTCCATGTATAATAATTATGTAAATGTTGTTTAAAATAGATTCAGATTCATTATTGCATGTCACATTCTCATTGTGTCAAGTACTTGTTTGCTGCAATGTGTTTTATTCAGGTCCTTGTTTCTTCCTGGGTCTGGGTCCTCTTCTCTCTTACTGTCGGTTTATTTGGTCTGGGATTGGCACTGCCAGCAACTACTACAACAGCAAATATGGAGACATTGTGCGGGTCTGGATCAACGGTGAGGAAACTCTCATCTTCAGCAGGTAAGTTCTCTCTCTCTCACACACACACACACACACACACACACACACACACACACACACACACACACACACACACACACACACACACACACACACACACACACACACACACACACACACACACACACACACACACACACACACACCATTCCTTGTGAAAAGGACTTTAGCATAATTTTAAAAGAGTATTATTACAGAAATAATATACTTTAAAAGAATGTACTTAGTGCAAACTGAATGTAATGTTTACGGGTATACACTGCATGTTATTTACAAATAATGAAAATGTATTCTAGTTTAAATTTATATTAAATGCAGTTAAGAGTACATATTTGTAAGTAATTTCATAATTCTGTTGTCTATTTGAAACAATCAAAATGTACTGTCAAATACACTGCCAAGCATATATGGTAAACTAAAGTAAATTTCAATGTCAGTTCTAGTGGAACTTGAATGTCATTAAATATATTTATTATTACATATTTGTAATGGTGAAATTCTGTACATGTTAAATATATTAACTTTAATTGTTATTATTACAAATAACACACTACAGTTAAAACTGCAATCACGTTCTTTGCATATTCTTTAATATGGTAGTCAATATAATGATTTAAAATGTACTATAATATGTGAAATATGTGAGTGTGTGTGTGTGTGTGTGTGTGTGTGTGTGTGTACGTGTACCTGGTATTTATCACGTTATGAAGTACACATCAACACATCAAAATAAGAGTACTTCTTTAAAGCACTATAAAAGATTATTAAAACAATGATTTAAAAATGCACTTTAAAGTAAAACTTTTAATTTGACAAAGTGCACTTGTGTGTGTGTGTGTGTGTGTGTGTGTGTACTTATGTGTGTTAAGAAACAGTCATGAAAGTGTACTCTTCAGTTACACTTATGTGGGTTTGTATTTCATTATTATTATGTTGTTATTATTTTATTTTACACAATAAATTAACTCAAATGTGGCATGAATTTCTCATTCTAACGCTGTGTGTGTCACAGGTCATCTGCTGTGTATCATGTGTTGAGGAGATCTCTGTACACCTCACGCTTTGGGAGCAAACTGGGTCTGCAGTGTATTGGGATGCATGAACAAGGCATCATATTCAACTCAAATGTGGAACTCTGGAAGAAAGTCCGCACCTTTTATGCAAAAGGTGGGCATGCTTTCAATAATACGCAAGTTACAATATATTAACCATGAAGAGGCTGATATAAATTGCATGACCACTTTTGATATCTCAGTGTCACAAATAGCATTTTAATTGATTTACATCATTTTATTTCAGGGGATTTTATCCGTTTTTTTTAAATAGCAAAATGTAGCCGTAAGAGGTACTAAGCATATTTGTGTGTGTGTGTGTATGTGTGTGTGTGTGTGTGTGTGTGTGTGTGTGTGTGTGTGTGTGTGAGCTCTAACAGGTCCAGGGCTTCAGAGAACTTTGGAGGTTTGCACCACTTCCACAAACACACACCTGGATGATCTGTCTCACCTGACAGATGCTCAGGGACAGGTGGACATCCTTAACTTACTGCGGTGCATTGTAGTGGACATTTCCAACAGACTGTTTCTAGGAGTCCCTCTCAAAGGTCAGTCCTAAGAAACATACAGTACATCATCTTAAAAGAGCATACAGACACTTAAAATCACATTTAATAATCTGTTTTGCTATCTAAAGCAAATTATCTAATAAATGTTATCTAATAAATCTTACCAATTCTAAACAATTGAACAGTAGTATATTTTTGTATGCTATGTATAGTGGCATTATGCAATTTTTAATAATGTGCTTAAAGGGATAGTTCACCCAAAAATGAAAATTCTGTCATTAATTACTCACCCTCATGTCATTCCAAAACCGTAAGACCTTCGTTCATTTTTGGAACACAAATTAAGATATTTTTGATAAAATCCGAGAGCTTTCTGACCCTGCATAGACAGCAATGCAAATACCATGTTCAAGGTCCAGAAAAGTAGTAAGGACATCGTTAAAATAGTCCATTTGCTTTAGGGTGAGCCATATCTTTAAGGGCATGGCAGATGTTCTCTCTATTGTTTGTGATCTCATAGTAAGGACATCGTTAAAATAGTCCATTTGCTTTAGGGTGAGCCATCTCTTTAAGGGCATGGCAGATGTTCTCTCTATTGTTTGTGATCTCATGGTTAATTCTGCAATTTTAGTATCTGCTATACATTGAAAACTCATTATATGTTATATGTAATTGCTGGTTTCTTGTTGCTGTGTTGCAGAGCATGATCTGCTTCAGAAGATTCATAAATATTTTGACACCTGGCAGACAGTATTAATCAAACCTGATGTTTACTTCAGACTGGACTGGCTTCACAGGAAGCACAAGAGAGACGCGTGAGTTCATGAGGTAGTGTTTTGGAGATGTATGTACAGTACTGTAAATGCATGCACATACCATAGTATATGAAAGTGATGACATTTGTAAGAAACACTTTATCACAAATGCAGAACCCAGAGAGCTTTAAAACCTTCTTTTAGGACTGAATTGGTTTTCGTTTGTGAACATTTTTAAAGGCTTTGAAAAGTGTGTTTTTTATGCTCTGTCTGTGTGTGTGTGTGTGTGTGTGTGTGTGTGTGTGTGTGTGTGTGTGTGTGTGTGTGTTTCAGTCAGACGTTGCAGGATGCCATTGCAGCTCTGATCGAGGAGAAGAGAGTTCAGCTGACACATGCAGAAAAACTCGACCATCTCGACTTCACAGCAGAGCTGATATTTGCTCAGGTGAATGTGACATGCCAGAACGTCACACACACTTTTGAAACATGTATAAAAATGGCTGACGTGTGTGTGTGTGTGTGTGTGTGTGTGTGTGTGTGTGTGTGTGTGTGTGTGTGTGTGTGTGTGTGTGTGTGTGTGTGTGTGTGTGTGTGTGTGTGTGTGTGTGTGTGTGTGTGTGTGTGTGTGTGTGTGTGTAAATATTTGAGCCAGGTGTAGATGGAGGCAAATCAGAGACAGATGGATTTGAGGAGGTGGAATGTGTGTGTGTGTGTGTGTGTGTGTGGGTGTGTGTTTAGAGCCACGGGGAGTTGAGTGCTGAGAACGTCAGGCAGTGTGTGTTGGAGATGTTGATCGCGGCTCCAGACACTCTCTCCATCAGTCTGTTCTTCATGTTGCTGTTGCTCAAACAAAATCCAGACGTGGAGTTAAAGATCCTGCAGGAAATGGACACTGTCTTAGGTATGCGCAGACACACGAGATTCAGTCATCGTACTTTAAAGGAATTATTTCCTCATCCTTACTCTCTGTCATTTTCAACCTGTATCTTCTGTAGTACACAAAAAGAAAACTGTTGAAGAATCTTTTCATAACTCTTTTCCATTTACTGAAAGACTCAGAATTATTCCGTTTTGACAGTGTAGTCAGTGTATGTTTGATCCAGATGTTTCTCTGGTTATTTGAACATCATGTTGTGATTGTGTTTTGTAGCGGGTAGGAGCCTGCGGCACTCACATCTGTCCAGGTTACACATTCTGGAGAGTTTTATCAACGAGTCGCTTCGGTTCCATCCGGTCGTGGACTTCACCATGCGCCGGGCGCTGGATGATGATGTCATCGAGGGCTACAAAGTGAAGAAAGGAACAAACATCATACTGAACGTGGGTCGGATGCACAGATCCGAATTCTTCCCCAAACCGAATCAGTTCAGTCTGGACAACTTCAAGAAAAATGTGAGTCTTCATTATAAAATTTGTTTCTTGTCTTATATTCCTGACTTCAGTGCCATTATAAACATTTACTATTAGCCATCACTCAAATAAATATTTAAATTCATTATTATTAAATGAATAAGAAAGTTTTTTTTTTTGTTAGAGAATTTTAAAATACATGTTATATATTTTTTATGATTCTCTATATATATATATATAAAAAAAAGATTCTGAAACTGTTGGAGGAAGATCCCGTGTTAATTGCATTATTTGTAAAAATAATTTGAATGTTTTATTTTGTATGATTTTAACACTTGTATTTAAATCCTACGCTATTTACCTTTGATCTTATATTTGATCTGTTTTAAAATAAAAAACTTAAAAATATATAGTCCAGCAATCAATGAACAGTGACTTTTAAACTTATAATTGCATTGTTTCATTAATCTCATTATATACAGTAATTATATAATATCTACCAAATTGTTTATCGTTTATCTCCCTTACAACCTTACAAAAAAGCACTGTGGTTATTATAGAATTTTATTTGTATTTTATTTTACCAAATTATTTATGTTTACCAAAATAACATTGTTATAACAGTTATTGTTACTATTTAACTAACCCAGTATTGTGACTATTGTTAATACTAATTTTAATAGTATAATTTGAAATTGAAAGAATTTTCACAATCCTTTATAATAGTTATTTTATTTTATTTGAATGCAGAAACCATTCATTTTTCATTATTTTCTTAAAAAATGGCAATAAAGTCAATATTTAATCAATCAAAATAGTATGTTTTGGGTCCATGGCAGCACCAACAATGTAATACCTTTCTCTGCCTCTCTCTCTCAAGGTGCCGAGTCGTTTCTTTCAGCCGTTCGGATCAGGCCCGCGGTCGTGTGTGGGGAAGCACATTGCTATGGTGATGATGAAGTCTATTCTTGTGACACTGTTGTCTCGTTTCTCTGTGTGTCCTGTGAAGGGCTGTACTGTAGACAGCGTCCCACAAACCAACAACCTTTCACAGCAGCCGGTGGAGGAGCCCTCGAGCCTCAGCGTGCAGCTCATCCTCAGAAACTCTCTCTGATTCACCACTAACATATCTGCTCCTGTGTCATTATTACCATGTATTTATCTACTGCTTTAGTAGTCAGTTCTTTGGATATTTGTGTTTAAATTTGTATGTAATTCAGTGTAAACGTAACTGTTGTTATAATATTGTGGCTTTCTGTGGATTCTGGGTGTTTTTTTTAACTCTTTATAAAAGTTAATAAATGTATTCTTAGATGATGTAACACTAATTAATTCTTTTTTTTTATTACATTTTTAACATTTAAAATTAGTAATGTAATTTTTACCAATTTTAAAATACAAAAATGTCAAATGTTTTTTTTTAAGTGAAAAGCAAAAGCAAAACACACTAAAATTATGGAAAATAAACATACACAACATATTAAACAAATATAAAAAGTTCAGTATTTTGTAAAAAAAAAAAAACATATAGGCTAGATAGCCTAAACAATGTTTTAATATTTTTGTACATTTGCCCATTTTACTAATTCACAAATTGTTTCATAATTCAGGATTGTTTTACTGTTTGTTTAAAAAAATCCACATAAAAGTAGCTAAAAATTATTTTAAAAAAAAAATTTAAAAGACATGTTTTATATCTTGTAATAAAATATAAGTAACATTTACGTGTTGATAACTGAAAAAGAACAACAAAAAAACAACAACACTGCACTTCTAGAACACAACAGTCCTTGTGTTGCCTTAATAGGAAAGGGAGTTTTCCATTACTTGATAAATTATCAAATGTGTGGTGTATGTGTTTAGTTATGTGATAAAACACTTCCAGAATGTCTGTATTTTGTGTATGCGGTCATAAAGTAATTTTCATCAGCAAGAGGGCACTGTTACACCATGTTAGGACAGTGTGGGCGCTGCATGTAAATAAACGATCTGAACATCACAACTGTTTTCATTTAAATGATTGAAGAATTAAGTCAAGTTATAAATTAGTTCAGTGAACTTAAAACTAGTTGGACTCAACAGATGATCAGCAGACCTCATTTGTACAGCTCCTGAGTGTAGCTGGCAGGCAGCATAAGGGTCTCAGGGTCCATTAGCTTTCAGGGGCCATTTCTTCCATATGGGGCCCATAAAGCTGTCAGCCAACACATAGAGACCATGAACACACACCACTTAATAGGTCATGAGCATATATAAACCGTCAAGATTAACGTACTTGGTATGCATATTAAATGATTTCTAAATGACATTTGCATTGGTTGTTTTGATGTATTATAAACATAATCAGGCTGTCTAAAGAAAAAGAACAACAACAAAAAAACAACAACACTGCACTTCTAGAACACAACAGTCCTTGTGTTGCCTTAATAAGAAAGGGAGTTTTCCATTACTTGATAAATTATCAAATGTGTGGTGTATGTGTTTAGTTATGTGATAAAACACTTCCAGAATGTCTGTATTTTGTGTATGCGGTCATAAAGTAATTTTCATCAGCAAGAGGGCACTGTTACACCATGTTAGGACAGTGTGGGCGCTGCATGTAAATAAACGATCTGAACATCACAACTGTTTTCATTTAAATGATTGAAGAATTAAGTCAAGTTATAAATTAGTTCAGTGAACTTAAAACTAGTTGGACTCAACAGATGATCAGCAGACCTCATTTGTACAGCTCCTGAGTGTAGCTGGCAGGCAGCATAAGGGTCTCAGGGTCCATTAGCTTTCAGGGGCCATTTCTTCCATATGGGGCCCATAAAGCTGTCAGCCAACACATAGAGACCATGAACACACACCACTTAATAGGTCATGAGCATATATAAACCGTCAAGATTAACGTACTTGGTATGCATATTAAATGATTTCTAAATGACATTTGCATTGGTTGTTTTGATGTATTATAAACATAATCAGGCTGTCTAAAGTGGAGCATTCAGACAGACCGGATCCCTTATTGTTTTCTGTTTGAATCAGTGGCCAACACTTAGATGAAGACGGAAATGAATATGACGCATGTCTCGTTATTGCCGTGGTAACCTGCACAGCTGTGTTAGTGGCAACCAGACGACATTGTAGACAAATACACATTGTTACACTCGGACAAAACACACACCTGCCTGATCCAGAGATCTCCATGTCAATGCTCTCTAAACAGGAAACAGGAAAATGTTTATCACCAAACACATTGAGATAGTCATGCCTTCAGAGCGCTGAGAAACTGCACAAAAGAAGAAGAGCTACAGCTGAAATGAATCAAAGATCAAGAGAGCGTAATTTGGCCACTTTCATGACAATTCTCTAAATATTAACAGGAATAAATAAGTAAAGCATCTGTTAAATGAATGGTCCTCCCAAAAATTCAAATGCTTCAAACCATTACATTCTTTCTTCAGAGGAACAGAAAAGGAAAGACAGTGCAAAATGTTCACGCTGCTCCTTTCCAAACAATGAAAATGAATGCGGATGTAATTTTAATTGCGTTTTAAAAATGTATTTAGTTATTTGAAAATATGATTAAGATGTGTACACTCACGTGTATTTAATGCACAGGGTTGTTACTTTGCATTCTGAGTCATTAAATTTGAACTTGAAATTGATGTGAAATCCTGCATTTAAAGCTAATGTTTCATTATCTTGAACACTCTAACTTGTCATTGACCCACATGTCAAATATCTATAACCAACGTTTCCTTTGCTAATTCAAGGTAAACTCTATGATAAGAGAGGATGTCTTAAGCAGCCTGAAAAAAAAAAAAGCTGTTTAGCTTCTGTTTAGAAATCCCGCACTGAGATGAAATCTACAGATGTCCATCTAGACTGCTGTTCTCTCAGAAGGCCTTTGCCAGGCCAGATCACTTTCATACTCAAACACAGCAAATAGATTTGTGCAAGAGAGAAACTAAATTATTTGGTTTAACAGGAAGAAATGTTCAGAAGAAGAAGAAATCTGGCTTGCAAAACACAAAACGCCAAACACCAGGAAACAGTACTGCCATGATCAACAAAATATGACGGGTGTTCTGGGTGGTGGCGTACTAATAGCTATAGCTATTACGAACTCTAGTAAAATACCCCAGTAAAGTATCACTTCCATGTCTGTCATTAGAGATTACCATATAATGACCTGAGAACCATTTTCACCAACAACATTTCTCTCAGCTGTGGCAGAGTCACGAGCGAAATCGCTCATTTGTTTTGATCTAACATCAGTCAAACGGGTTTGCAAAATAGTCTGAAATGGTTTGGATTCAGTTTGATTCATTTGGAAACTTCACTCGCGCGCTGAATTGTTTGCAGCAGTTTTACATCGAAAACTCGGAAATTCCATCGTTTAAACGTCTTTATCGATTGTTTTAAGCTTTACCGAACTCTGCTATGATTGGCTTATAGTTGTGTATGTTTGACAGTCTATCACCTTGTCCTAACTATATGCGAAGCGATGCCGCGACACGCGATTAAAAGTATCTTTTCCATGTTAATCAGTGTTTTTGTCCTAACTAGCCTTGACGGCGAAACGCAAAATTTTTTTTTTAGAAACGGTTTCTATTTCTGTGACGTCGCGGCTGGAACAAAAACATTAAAACTAGGCCTATATGACAGTAGATAATCTCAGGTGATTATGTGCTTAATTCAAATTTAAGCGTGTCTAATGTGAGTTTAAATATCATTTTGTGTGACCTTATACTGAAAGCAACAACAGATAGTTTACCTCAGGTCTTGAAAATAAATTAAAGCAAACACGTACGTTCAAACTGTGAACTCATTGTAACCCACGAGTGTATTCCATTACAAAGATGGTATCAGTCACTCAGTAGTACACTTAATAATGTTAAAAAGGTTTATTATTTATTATTAGTATTTATTAATAAGATTATAAACATCAATTTTGTTGTGAGTGCAGTGCGCTTCCAGAGAGAGCCCGCCCACACACGCTTCTGATTGGTTGTGCTATTTGATTGATTCTGTCGTGTGGCGTTGTCGCATCGTGTTGTCGAGTATAACAAGTACAACATGCTCCTGGATCAACATTCTTGTTGATCCTGGAACAACATTCCAATTAACCAATCAGAATTAAGGGATAACTTTTCAGGAAATGTCTGTTTTAGGCTTACGATCAGGGTTAGGTGCTTCATCATTTCACACTGATTTTAGGAATTAATTATGGGTAGGGTTAGCTTTAGGGGTAGGGATTGGGATTGGGTTTAGTCTATATTTTTGGACAGTAATGTTCATCCAGGATCAACAAAAGATGTTGAACCAGGAACATGACTTACTTGGCAAAATCACGGCGACCGTGTTGTCGCGTCGCGTCTGGTGTGGACAGCCAAACTGCTTGTTGCGTCGCGTGTAGTTAGGACACGGTGTATGTCCTTCACAGATGAACGCTGCAGTGACTTAGGTTAAAAACGCTTAAATACTCATATCAAACGATCTGTTTATTAGACAAAGCAATTGACCACATAATAAAACAGTTAGACTACTCACACTTGTGTGTTGCGATATGACTGTCGGATAGTCAGCACAGCATCATCTTTTAGTTTTAATCTTTCTGAAAATCCTGTTTCGAATTGTGGCTTGTTTGTAAACAAATCCGTAAAATGAAGTGAACAAAGGGCCAAGCTCTTACTGATGGTGTCTGAAACTTAATTAAAAATAAAGTTCATCCACTCTTTACTAATGTTAGGATCAGAAGGAAGGCAATGCAAAGACTGTGCACTGCACAGCGTCTTGTTGTCTTCGGAGCCATCTTTATTGTTTGGTTTCTGCATAGACCTGCATTCACCCTTCTCGTTATTTACACTACATGCACGAATCAGTGGGCAGGGCTAAACAGGCAGCGATGTAGAAGCAGGCGTTGATCTTCTTCTGCTGAGGCAGTGTTTATCCACACTATTACATCATAGAGTTGTACATTCCACAAGTCGTTTTGACAGACTGTTTTTAGACTAATGAGAAAGTTTTGAGTTCTGAAACTTACAGAATGTTTTTATAATATAATGACCTCTTATCTGTCAAAAGATGAAGGGAATTTTGGTTTCTCAGTTCATGACCCCTTTAATTGGGAAAAGAGTTGTGTATGTGTCCCTCCAGGAACCAGGTTGAGAAACTGCTTTAAACAATCATATTTCATAAAATGCTGCAGACAGCAGAGAAGAAATCTTCAGTTGTATTAACAGTAAATAATGATGCAAGATGTTTGTGCGTTT